AATAAAAATGCAAAGGTCGCCTGGTTGTTACTGGCTCATATGCTCTAAATTTGGAAACCTCTTCATTTTAACGTTTCGGATGGCTTCGGGTATGAATCTCTCATAGCCTGCCGGTGATCTTCCCTCGGAGTCGGTAAGTCCTCGTGACACGAATGGGAACGCGAATGGGTGGCACCGACGACGGTTGGCGCTCTCTTTTCGGATTCGGGGGCGCGAGGTGTCCGCCCCTCGCAAGAGATGGCGCTGTCGGTCGAGAGGCGCGCGTCGGTCGAGCTTCGATCCAGCAGAAGCCTGTGCAGTCCAACCGCCCTGGTTCACCACGGTCAGCGGTGCGCGGCAGCCAAGGACTCCAGAGTTCTTGTGTGCTAAGGTAAGTGATGGTGACACCCCCTGAACGTGTTGACTTGTTCGGCTACGCGTTGACCCGGCGACTGCGCCTTGCCCCCTGTCACCCCCGGGGGTTGCCGTCGGCCCGCAGGGGTGGCCGTGGCCGCTCGTCCGCGGGCCGCTCGCCCAGCAGGGGCGGGTGTGACGACATCCATGATGCGGATGCCTTAACCTCACCCACGTGTTGACGTCTGCCACAACTTCCCGCGTTCCACTGTCAACCGCCGCACAGCTCGGGTCTGTCGCATCACGCAGTAAGCCCGTTGACGGCACATTCGTCAACGTGGTGGACTGCGTTGCCTGGACGGCGTCCTGGCCGTGCCCGCATTACATGCGGCCTTCCGGGGGGCTGCCGCGGCCGTGCGTATCTCGGCGGCCTTAGGTCTGCGGTAACTGGGGATGGGCGCGGAGCTGTCTGGCTCCGCACCCCTGAAATTTTTGACTATTATGATCATGTGTGGGTGTGTGTGTCATGTACGTGTACGTGTGTCGTGTGCGTGAGCGAAGGCAGCGGGGTGCAGTATGTCAGGAAGGGGTGCGAGTCCAGTCCACCACTGGCTGCCCCGCCCCGCCCCGGGCTAAGCCGGCCTCACATCTCACATGGTGCAATCAGCCTCCAGCATGGCGGCTGGGAGCTGCTCGGCTTAGCTCCGCGGTGCGTATGCCATGGCACACCACGAACACTGCCCACCCCCCGCGCAACCTTCAGCCCCCTGCCCCTCACCCGGTCGCTCGCGCACCCATCGCGGAGGCAACGCACGTAGGCGATGCTCCAAATCCACTTGACTTTTTTTTTAAAGGTAATGTTACTTTAACAAAGAGAGACTTGGAATAAGAATGTAGAAGGGGGTGAGGGGGGGGTGAGGTGGTGGAGGCCGAAGGCCGGCGAGGGCAGGACGTGGCCGGAGGAGTTGGCGCTGTCCAGCCGCCCGCGCATCTCTTTTAGAAAACTCACCGGCCGGTTGTCGACGAACCACGTGATGTTGGCCGCCGGGAAAGACGCCGTCGTGGAGCAGTTGGCACGCACCACCCCGGCGGACAGCTTCTCCACGGTCAGCTCCGGCTTCCTGCTCGGCGGTTCTGTAAAAAGAACGGGGAGAATAATTTTTAAAGATTTTTTTTTTTGCGAGTAACCATAAACAAGCATCGTGGCCGAAAGGGGGGAAGGGATTTACTGCGAGCGCTACGCTGTGCCACGCCCTCGGCAAATTGGGGGCCAAGCATCGCGTGGCGCCATCGAGGGAGAGAGAGGGAAAATGAGTAGGAGAGAGTGGGAGGGAGAGAAGAAAGAGAGGAGAGAGGGAGAGAGGG